ATTGTTATGGCTACTGCTGTAATCCATGATGATGGAGTAGGAGTAAGACTGTCCTTGACTCTTTCTTTACATCCATCATCAGTATTACCCTCTTCTACCCTGGGTTGGTGCTGCTGCTGTTCTATACCAGATGTAGCCTGAGCCACATAGATCGATGCATGATTCTAGTGCCAGAGGTATTCTTACTACTACACCTCCATCTTCATCTTCATTCCTACTGCCACCCTGGATAGCTGCCTGTGCTGAGGGTAGATTGGTAATATCAATCGACGACGACGACATGGAGAGCAAGCCTTGTTTAGCTAGTTTGATCTCTGCTGCATCGTCCCACTCAAGTGTTGCCAAGCTTGATCTATAGTAATATACCCTCCAATGAGCAGTCCTACCTCACTAACCCTACCTATTTCTATGACCAGGCAATGGACCTGTCGCTAGACTCTGTGCTAGGGCATCCAATGCTGTATGTATAGTATGTGGATTAGTAGAAGTAATCACTTCATTGAGTACTGTAGGATAGAGTAATTTACTACTATACCTATTGTGTTTTAGTCTTCCTCTTTACAACAGAGATACATATCAAGTACGCTATATTGATGGCTGTCTCTATCTTATCTCCAGTGAGCACCCATACCTTGATACCAGCTTGGTGTAGGTCTGCTATAGTCTCTGGTACATTGTCCTATTAAGAAGGATATAGTAGCCTTACTGTAGTAAGCCACCACCTCACCTGTAGTTTATCCTCTATACCAGTACAACCTACTATATGAATACCACACTCCATTTCCTCTATACACTTCCTTAACGCTTCCTCCTTAGCTGTACCAACAAGGCCTCGGGCATGGTTATAGGAAGCACGCCAATGATCCACGAAAGGCTTATTCAAGGTGAGGTCTCGGACACCGTACACTAGCGTTCGAAGACCTCTTGTGGATAGTTGGTTGAGGACACTATCCAGCTCTTGTTGAGGAAGGGTAGACGACGAATCTAAGACGGTTAAGGTAAGGGAAATAGTAATACTGGAAAAAGCACTGCTGGTTGAGCATATATCCATCATGCTGGAATCCGCACCCTTGATAAGTAGCAAGACCTTATCTGTGGCACAGTTGTCATCCCTTCCCTTCCTATAAACAGCTACTACAGTATAAACAAGATGATAATGGCCTTACTCTTGGGAGTCCGGTATAGCTGTTATCTTGATAAGAACGCTCATCCTTTTCCGGTCGTTATCAAACTCTATCACTTCCAACAGTTCAACGTCTACAATGCTCTCCCCTTCTTCACTAGTTTGAACGTTAAGGATCTGCACCACCGGCGGCGTCGTCGGCGGCATACTCAAGAATATATAATGATATCACTACCTCCCTTGCGAAGGGAGTGGTCAGGGTGATCCTAATAGTATCAGGGGTTGGTCGGGCTGAGAACTCTAATCCAAGATATCTTGCACCGGCCACTAGAGCAAGCTCATCAGGGGAGGATGCGTCATATCTAACATACCATATAGGCGACCTCAGCAACATCATCTCGTGTTACAGAGACTCAGACGAGCACATGGGGTCTGCCGATACTTGGTTAGAGTCCTTAACGAGGACTGAATGACAGAGGCAGAGACCAAGGAGGAATAGCCGTGTTGTAGTGAGGAGGCTAGAAGGAAGGGATGAAAGGGCTGACGCCAGGGCACGTACTCTTCATCATCATCCTGTGCTACAACCCTCAGGATGGTCTCATCGTCGAAGTGGACGCTCGGGTCGTGTCGTGCCGGTGCTATGGTAGGTGATGACAGACCAGTAGCTTGGGGTAGGTGGGGGAGTGGCTGGGAGTCCATCCCCCCACTGCCCATAATGTAAGCACCTGAGTGTGGTGGTGGTATGGCGATAGCCTTAGAAGCTTATAGTGATCTACTCCTGAATATCATCCGATTGTCAGTTAGAGTCCCTGTCTTATCACTGAACACATGAGTAACCGATCCCAGTTCCTCTATTAGAGTGGAGCTGTTAGAGGCCGCAGCTAGACCTGGTAGTCGGGCCTCAGAGTGTGACTGGTGAGGCTACTATAATCACCATTATGTTGCATAGCATTATCTGCTGATACAAACCTCCCTTGGAAGTACTTCACTATCTCCAATGTAACCTAGCATTGTTGGAGAGGGTTAACGATGTGCAGAGGTATGGGAATACCAGTAGTGATATGGGGACGAAATAAGTAAACTGGAGTAGCAAGGAGCCAGCAACACGCAGGCCTCTAGATACCACATCTCCTGCATCTACTGATTGAGGCCCTACATAGAGATACCTGATAACAATAAGGGAGGTTAGGTGAGGTAGTCCGCTCCCATACCAGTAGTGAAATGAGGAGCCCATCATGATAATAGGAGTAGTATCGTCAACGTCGTCCTTGGTTGTGGTGGTGGTAGCGTAGATAAACCCATGAGTAAAGGCAGCTATTATGCATATCATAGCTTGAAGGGTAAAGAGTACGATAACATGCCTGTTGTAGGTCTGCATGAGCTTACTTATCTTATTCCTTCCCGTACCTGATATCCCATTCTTTACCCATCACAAGAGTGAGTATTAGTAATAACCTACCTGTCTCCATTGAGTTACGGTATATCCTAGTATCCATGCCAGGATACACTACTACACCGTAACAATGGTGACCACTATTACAGGACTGTAGTGATGTCCCTCGTAATAGTAATTGATCAATACTGAGTGGGAGACTGCTCACTGCATGCCGACCACATCCCCCTCGTCCATCGTGCTCCGATGAGCTTTCCTCGTAGTCTGTGGTATCATGGTCAGGCATGGTGTTGAGCAGTAGTTGTCCTTGGAATTTGTACAGCTGTGAGTTAGGGGTCTCGTAGTGCAGCTCAGCCTCATGGAGGCCAATAATGATATTCTCCTCTATAGTGGCTGTATTGGATGACTCATAGAATGCATTTTGAAGTGTTGGTATGCATATCTTAGGCTTGAGGTTAGTCTCACCATCGAGATTCATAGTCTCTACAAATATCATACCACCAGTATCATCACAAGTAAGCAATACTAGATCAGCAGGGAACTGTTCTCCAATACCAATCTTCACCACATCCCCCACTCTGAGCTCATCCCAGTGTACTCTATCTACGAGAGAGGTGCTACTTCGGTCGTAGATGGTACCATCATCAGATCGTTGACGGCGTTTTGCGACAAGCCTTCGAACTGTCCTCTTATTCTCTTGTTTGTCGTTATTATGCCTCTTCATGTCTTCTATTGCATCACGGAATGCCGATACTGTGATAACAAAGAGTAATGGTATCAAGAGTAGTGGCCGACCACCAGAGTCACTGACAGCAGGGATCATCTGTAAGCCAGCAGCACATAGGAAATACACGTTGGCGAAGAGGTGTAATTGATACCAGAGGTTCTTAGGTATGAATGACACTATAGTATATTTGGATGTCCTCACACCGTTGTTACAGTCAGCCGCATCACTAAGCTCTGGATGATAAACAACAGCTTTCTGTATACAAGTGGTACCAGTGACGGCTTTATTGGTAGTAGTATTAGCACAAGTGAACACTGACCTCATAGCAGCTACAAGTCTCCTATATAAAAGTAAATATTGGGGAGTAGGCTCTACTGGTTCCTCAATGCGGATAACAACCTGTAAAGGGTCCATGGATAGAGATCATGAGAGGGCATCAAACCTACCGATTTAATATTGTCATTGTCATCGCTACGTGGGGATGTGAGATCGCTGGGAAAGGCCTTCATAATGAGTCACCAGCAGCAGCAGTAACAGCCTCGACACGTGGCCACCTTGACTTCTTGATCTCTCTTGCTAACTTCTCAACTTCATCAAAGAATATGATCATCATACACAACGGAAGCAGTGGATACGGAGGAGGGACCATCTCCACACTTCATTGTGACCATGTTCTCGCGACTGGTGATGAACTTTGGAAGGTACTCGTTAAGGGTGCCTTCCTGAGTGGTAACTGAGGTAGTAGTAGTAGGAGGAAGGGTGAGGAAGTTTGTCTAGGATCCTTGTCCAAGACTAGTTCATAGCTTGATTATACCGGTATGGTGCTGTACGATGCACTATCATAGTGTATTACTTCGTCGTCGTGATCATCATCATAATGACAAGTCTCAGTTGCAGAGTAGTGTTGACAGCACTCGCCCTGAGACAGGACTTTGATGGCGTGTTCCTTCAGGCCCTATACTACCAACAACAGGAGGGGAAGGAGGAGGAGGGTGGGGTGTTGGTATATTATGGGTGGTATACAAACCACCCACACAAAGTTGGGGTGTACCTTCACCGCCGTCGCCCCTCAGCGATCCCCATGCTTTGGAAACATTGTCGGAAGGACCCATCAGTTGAATGCTGCTGCATTATCCCTTTAGCCTCCCCTTATCATGCTCTACTTGGACTTCCTGTCTTCATGGTCTCCTGTCGATATGTGTCGTTGAGTGCAGTTGAGGTTGTAATGGTAGAGGTATTAGCTCTCGTTCCTGTTGCCTCAGCCTGTTCTTTTCCCCTTGTTTTGCATCATAATTCCCTCTCTCCATCATTATGATAGTTGAATCGCCGTCTTCTCGAGCGACGGTTCTTGTTGATACGACGGCATCAACAACAATAAGGAGGGGAACTAAGGAAGAAGGAGATGGTCATGCCACCGAGGTCACTGCTGCAGATGAGTACACAGGGAAACGTCGCAATACCTGGTCCCCGTCGTCGCCATCGTCGTCGTCATCGTCGTCGTCGGTGCATGCTGGACCACAGTGCACCTTGTCTCGAGACAAGCGCCGCCCACACGCTGTATCGGACTCGTTGAGGGCTCAAGAGGCTCGGGACTGCAATACCCCTTCTGAGTCCCTCTTGGGCAACTCCCAACCAACTACGAGACCATCGACAGTCGCTGCTCTAACACCGCCTTCGATGACCCCTTCTGGCGTTATGCCTGCATCACGGAAAGGAGATAACAGTGATAACACGACTGTGACCCTCAAAATGGAGGAACGAAAGGTGATATTACTACTACTGTTTTCATTATGGGGGTCTAGTTGGGTATTCACCGTTCGTTTAGTTATTCCTCGGTGGTCTGCCGTACAATTGTGGGCAGCGAGAACTGAAAGAATACTTCTCCCAGTTTGGTGATATAGATGATGCAACAGTTATGATCGATCATCTCACTGGACGATCTCGAGGCTTCGGCTTTATTACCTTCCAATACTCTCAGGATATGGAGGTAGTAATAGTAGTCGTACTACTACAGCACACCTCACTGGCAGCAGCCAAGAATACCAACATATTGTTATCTGCCCTAGGTTTGTCTTGATAATATACCCCACGTGGTAATGGATAAGACAATAGACGTTAAGCGAGCAGTAGAGGGTGGTCTTGGGCCAAGAGGCTCACGACATCATCATCAACAACATCAGCAGGGTAGCCATACTGTGGTATATAAAGGGAGCACTATTGGGAGCTGGATGTCAGGTGGTGGTGATGATGATATGAAGGGGTCTTGGAGTAGACATACCAATCACTATTACTTCTATGGCAGAGGGGTTTTTGGTGGTGGTGGAAAAGGAGGATATAGGGGATATGGTGGTGGGAAGGGGGGCGGCGGCAAAGGGGCTTTATCATCATCATCACTACCTTATCGGGTACCTGATGATCCATGTAAGGTCTTTATTGGTGGTCTACCACCTTCCGCTGATGATGGTAATAATAACACGCTTGGACATAGTGTACTTCTACTATCGCCGCCCTTTCAGATAGTTTGACTGATATGCTTGCTCAATATGGTACCCTTGTTGATTGTAATGTAATGATTGATAGAGGCACTGGACGTAATCGTGGCTTTGCGTATGCAACTTTTTCGACACCTGCTGGTGCTAATGCTGCTTGCCGTGGTGGAGATAATAACATGATGGATGGCAAATGGGTAGTAAGTCGCACAGTGCTGCCTCCTCT